GTAAACATTAAATGCATGTAGTTGAGAGGTAGTGGTTATAGAGGTAGTAGTTGAGAGGTAGTTGTTGTATTGAATGTATGTAGTTGAAAGGTAGTAGTTGTATTAAATGCATGTAGTTGAGAGTCCATATCCAAAGGGCCTATAAATTGACCATGCATCACTCATTGCAAATACATCAAGTGATAATATACAGAGTGCTTTATTTAGATACTTGTTTGTCTACAAATTGGCATCAGAGCTTGAGAGCCTGAGTGTCTGAGTGCGTTAGAGAGAGTGTTTGAGAGTTAGAGAGTTTGTTTGAGATGGCCAACTTAGCTAACAGCATGCCCCTACCAAAGTTATCAAAAGGTGTAAGCTATGATAATTGGAGCCTGCAAATGAAGGCTCTCCTTGGTTCCCAAGAAGTATGGGATGTGGTCGAAAATTGGCACCAAGAACCAGAGAATATTGAAGAGCAGACGATTGCTCAGCTTGCTGCATTGAGAGGAACACGAGTAAAGGACAAAACGGCTTTGTACGTACTGTACCAAGCTGTTGATGAGTCCGGCTTTGAGAAGATAGCAAATGCTAAATCTTCAAAAGAAGCGTGGGATATTCTAGAGAAGGCATATAAGGGGATAATCGCGTGAAGCAAGTCAGGCTTCAAACTCTTAGAGGCGAGCTTGAAAGCATGAGGATGAAAGAGGTCGAAGGGGTTTCCGAGTACATCTCCCGTGTTGAGACCGTGGTGAATCAACTCGGAAGAAATGGAGAGACGCTGCCCACTTGCCGAGTGGTGGAGAAAATCTTAAGGTCGTTAACTGACGATTTTGAGAATATCGTTTGTGCAATAGAAGAGTCCAAGGACTTGTCGGTGCTCTTGGTGGAAGAGCTTGCCGGGTCGCTTGAAGCGCATGAGCAGCGGAGAAGGAAGAAGAAAGAGGAGTCCCTTGATCAAGCACTCCAAGCAAAGGCAATCTTAAAGGAGAAGAAGGTTCCTTATGCTCAGAACACTCAAGGCCGAGGTGGTAGAGGCAGAGGAGAATATGAAAGAGGCAAGGAGCCAGTCAGTCAACAAAACTGGCGTGGCCGAAGACAAGGTAGAGGTCGTGACGGTAGAGGCCGAGGTGGTCAGTCAAGCAATTCCGGAGTTGAGTGCTTCAAATGTGGGAAGTACGGTCATTTTGCTAAGGACTGCTATTCAGGTATCAAATGTTATAATTGTGGGAAGGTTGGGCATTTCGCAAAGGACTGCCGATCTGAGAGGAAGAAGGAGACAAACCTCCTCTCTGAGGACACTGAGGAAGAAGGAGTATTGATGATGTCGAGAAGTTCGGATGTCGAGCTAAGTCCGAGCTGTTCTGACAACTCGGTTTGGTATCTTGATACAGGAGCAAGTAACCACATGTGCGGGGACGAGAACCTTTTTAAGGAGCTCACTAAAGTTGAGGCCGGACACGTGTCATTTGGAGATGCATCAAAGGTGGCAGTAAAAGGCAGAGGTACAATCTGGTACCTACAGAAGAATAGCCGAGTTGGAGAAATCAGAGACGTGTACTATGTACCTGATCTCAAAAGCAACATACTGAGCATGGGTCAGCTGATGGAGAAAGGCTACTCGGTTCTGATGAAAGACCGAGTACTATACCTGAAGGACAAGTCGGATCGTTTGATTGCCCGAGTAGAAATGAAGAAGAACAGAATGTACAAGATGGAGTTGAAGATAGTCCAAGAGAGGTGCTTGAAACTAGACGTGAAGGATGAAGCAATGATGTGGCACTTTCGGTTTGGCCACTTGCATTTTGGCGGGCTGACCAAGTTGGTAAAGAAAGAGATGGTGCGAGGACTCCCGTCTATGGAATTTGAAAAGAAATTTTGTGAAGAGTGTGTGCTCGGGAAGCATCCGAGAACCTCATTTCCGAGGATGGCCGAGTACCGTGCAAATGAACAACTCAGATTGATTCACACAGATCTTTGTGGACCGGTTACCCCTGAGTCCTTCAGTGGGAAAAGGTATTTCATTTCTTTTATAGATGATTTTTCAAGAAAAACCTGGGTATATTTTTTGAAGGAGAAATCCGAGGTGTTTGAGGTGTTCAAGAGATTTAAAGCAATGGTTGAGAAAGAGACTGGCATGCCTATCAAATCTGTTAGGTCTGATCGAGGAGGAGAGTTCATTTCATCTGAACTCATGAAGTATTGCGAGGAGCAAGGGATAAGGAGATTTCTGACAGCACCATACTCACCCCAACAAAACGGAGTTGTCGAGAGGAAGAATCGAACCATTCTTGACATGGTTCGAACAATGTTGAGAAGCAAAAATGTGCCAAAGGAGTTCTGGGCAGAAGCAGTGTAATGTGCCATCTATGTGCAAAATAGATGTCCACATGCTAAGCTGAACGAGAAGACACCACAAGAAGTCTGGAGTGGAAGAAAACCGAGTGTGTCTCACCTTAAAGTGTTCGGTAGCATAGCTTATGGTCATGTTCCAGCTCAACAGAGGACCAAGCTCGAAGATAAAAGCAAAAAGTACGTGTTTATTGGGTATGATGAAAAAACCAAGGCGTACAGGTTGTTTAACCCAATAACTAAGAAGGTCATCATGAGCCGAGATGTTCAAATTGATGAAGAAAGCGAGTGGAGTTGGAACAACCCAGAGAAGGAGTCCATAGGAAGTAGAAGCTCGGAAGTTGATACACCACATACTGTGAGAGATCATGAGACTTCTGATGAAGAAGATGAACCTCTACAGCCCAGAGCGCGAAGTTTACAAGATATATACAACTCCACTGACGAAGTGCATGTTGTATGTCTCTTGGCAGATTCAGAAGACTTAAATTTTGAAGAGGCCGTGCAGGAGAAAAGATGGAAAACTGCAATGGACGAGGAGATCGGGGCAATAGAACGCAACAACACATGGGAGCTGACTGATTTGCCCAAACGAGCGCGGCCTATCGGCATAAAGTGGGTGTACAAGAAGAAGACAAATGCTGAAGGAGAAGTTGAGCGATATAAAGCTCGACTCGTAGTGAAGGGGTACAAGCAGAAGGAAGGAATAGACTATGACGAAGTATTCGCCCCAGTGACGAGAATGGAAACAATTAGGCTGCTGATTTCCTTAGCAGCTCAACACAGATGGACAATCTTGCAGATGGACGTGAAGTCAGCATTTCTGAATGGAATCTTGGAGGAGGAAGTATATGTTGAACAACCACTCGGATACATGCGAAGAGGCGAAGAGAAGAAAGTGCTGAGATTGAAGAAGGCACTTTATGGCTTGAAACAAGCTCCACGAGCATGGAATGAAAGAATTGACACTTACTTCAAAAGGAATGGATATGAGCAGTGTCCTTATGAACATGCTCTATATATAAAGAAGAAAGGAGAAGATGTGATGTTTGTTGCCCTATATGTTGATGATCTTATCTTCATGGGGAATAATGCCGAGCTAATTGAAGAGTTTAAAGAAGTGATGAAGAAGGAGTTTGAGATGACTGACTTGGGTCTTATGAAGTATTTTCTTGGCTTAGAAGTTGTTCAGGGAAAGGATGGCATCTTTGTGTCGCAGGAAAGGTATGCTGAGGAGATCTTGAAGAAGTTTAAGATGACAAGTTGCAACCCGGTTTCCACCCCTATGGAACCTGGTACAAAACTTTCTAAGTATGCAGATGGAGACCGAGTTGATGCGAGCAAATACCGAAGTCTGATTGGAAGTCTTAGGTATCTTACAAATACCAGACCAGATTTAATGCTAAGTGTTGGAATAGCAAGTCGATATATGGAGGAGCCAAGGTATACTCATTGGAAGGCACTAAAGAGAATTCTAAGGTATGTGAGAGGAACAGTGTCACTTGGCCTAATGTATACTAGGACGGATGATTATCGACTAGTAGGCTACTCGGATAGTGACTGGTGTGGAGATGTTGATGACCGGAAAAGCACGTCTGGATATGTATTCTTCATGGGAAACACAGCATTCACCTGGCTTTCAAAAAAGCAGCCCATTGTAACGTTGTCAACTTGTGAAGCCGAGTACGTTGCAGCATCCTGGAGTGTCTGTCATGCAGTTTGGCTTAGAAACCTTCTAAGCAAGCTGGAGTTCAAGCAAGAAAGAGGGACTGTGATCCGAGTTGATAACAAGTCGGCCATTGAATTGGTAAAGAATCCGGTCAATCATGAGAGAAGCAAACATATTGATGTTCGGTTTCATTTCATCCGAGAACAAGTGAAAGAAGGAAATGTGGAGTTAGAGCACGTCGGAACCCGAACACAAGCTGCAGATATGTTCACGAAGCCACTGTCAACCACTCTGTTCGAGAACAACAAGAAGATGCTTGGAATGAAGGACAAGAAAAGCATTTAAGTTTATAGGGGGATTTTGTTAGGTAAACATTAAATGCATGTAGTTGAGAGGTAGTGGTTATAGAGGTAGTAGTTGAGAGGTAGTTGTTGTATTGAATGTATGTAGTTGAAAGGTAGTAGTTGTATTAAATGCATGTAGTTGAGAGGCCATATCCAAAGGGCCTATAAATTGACCATGTATCACTCATTGCAAATACATCAAGTGATAATATACAGAGTGCTTTATTTAGATACTTGTTTGTCTACATATATTTTATCCAATAATACCATACTTAATTGGTTAGTTTCATTCTACTATTTTAATCTATAATAAGTTCTGATATGTATCGGTCATTATATTGTTAATCGTTTTCATTTTTTTTATGTGTTTCTTCACTGTATCACTTTTCTTAAAAAAAATAAAAATAGAATGACAATAATTTATACAAACAATTAAACACTTTATTGAAATTAAGAACCAGATTGAATATGATTCTGCACAATCTAGAAGAGTGCAGGACTGGTTATTCTTTAAAAATAATTCACTCGATAATACTCACCTATGATAAATTGCACAAAAATCAATATATACTAATCAAATTTAAACCAAACTTGAAGAAGTCTCATGCATGTAATGAAAGCGCTGAGCATGTGAGAATAGTTTAATGCATGCATTTGTCTTAGGGAATGTCATCGCTTTCATGACCATGGCAACATTTGTATTTAACAGATGCTACTTCCATTTCATGTCCACATTTATTTGGACATGGTATGTGAGCTAGAATATCAGTGGGGTAATTAGCAAATTCCCTATGTTCACATCTTTGAGGAACACTCTTATCCTTGCATTTGTTATAGTAGTCCTTGAAAACTACATCAAAGCTCACTTCATGGTCCAATTTCTCTTTCCAAACTTCGAAGTCTGTGACAGTTCTAAGCATAGCTTCACCACGACCCAAAAGCTTCACGTGAGATCCTTTACTAAGAATGGCCCATCCATTTGGATCTTGTTTGAGGAACAACAAGTCTTTAATCTCTTTTGTTGTAGAGTCTTCCACTTCTTCACCACCCTTCTTTGTTAGTTTCCTGCTAGCAAGCAAGTTGTCTATGGTGATCCAGAAGCGTGGAATGATCTTGGGGCTCTCGCTTCCCAATTGATAGGACTCAATTGTGGTTTCCACTAGGTTGAAAGTTCCACTATTTTTCCATTTCTTCACAACTGTGGTGAAATCATTAATCCACTTGGTGTTGGTACCTCCATAGATGAAGATGTAACAGTCTCTATCGGTCTGAGTTATGGACATGAAAAACAGATAATTTTATCCAATGATGATATCTAAAATTACAGAATGAATATGATGCCAAGAAAACTTGGGGTTGCAAGCACAAGCCTTTGAGATTGCAGAAGAAACTTTCATTACATGTCTCATCGATACATAATAGTTGAATTTAATTTATTGAAAGTGCACAGGATTTTACATTGTCATCCAATTACAATTTCTGATTTTCACAGTAAGTTTGTAGAATTTATAAAAGGATAAAGCTTTGATACATTTTCTTAGGTGTTGTTTTTTTCTTTTCTAATTAGAGTTGAATACATAATAAAAAAACAATTCCTTTATATGCACCAAATAGGACAAGCATAGTTTTGTAGCGCTTACCAATTTCCTTATTGTTGGACTGAGGCTCTTCATTTCAGTCCAAAACCAGTTCCATTGTTGAGTAAGTCGGGTCAGATCAGAGGTTCTGAAAGGGAATCCCTCAATCCCCCATGTGGAAATAATTTGTTTTGCATCAGGATTTTCCACTTTACCCTGAGGGCTAATGAGCAAGATAATGGGGCTACCCTTGTAGTTGAATACCTCTTTGATAAGATCAATACCTGTTTGGAAATTGAATTCCTTCACCACATACCACCCAACCTCAGTAACATTTTCTACCTTTTTCCTTTGCTCTTCATCCCAAACACTCACTATGGGGATCCACAAAATACTGAAATCCTCTTTCCTGTAACCCTCAACCTCTTTTGTTTCTTCCTTGTAACCCTCAACCTCTTTTGTTTCTTCCTTCAATTTCCCATCGATTGATATTAAAAGCTTAGTCTCATATTCAATGTTGTCAACGCCCGAAATGAACAATAACACATACTTGTTCTTAAAGACTCCCATTACAACCTGTATGAGTCAAGGAGATCATAATGAACAATGGATTTGTTATTTTTCTCAACACTAGGATATTCTTTAATGATTAAACCCTTTGTTTACCCTAAATTTAATTACTCATTTGATTTTTACAGTTACAATTTTATTTCATTTTACTTTCCAGACAAATCATGTTTAATGCCTTCAAGGACTAAAAGGAATTCAGATGACATGTGCAAGAATTAAAAGAACAATTATAAATATAAGAACTAAAATAAAAAAAGTTCTATAATTAGACGGACCAAAAGAATAATTAAACCTTCTACATACATTGGATTAATACTAAGTATAAGGAAATAGAAGTAGTAGAGATAAAACATTTAGAGATAGTACTGTGGTTATTACCGGTTTTCTATTACCGACATCATACACCACTGGTCTTGGATCCTGACGATCAGTGGGAATAATAAGAGCTTCCAAAAATTTTACGATGTCAGTTTCAGTGGTATTATTTATAATGTCCTTGCGCTTTGAGTAATCTTCTATTCGCCCTGCAATTAACACAAAGAACTTTTACCCCTGAATCCTTCACCTTTACTAGTTGTGAGAATTTAAGGGAAGCATGCTTCTAATGTTGATACAAAAGATTCGCAAAAGCGTTTAAACAGGTTAACAAACCTATCTGTGTGTTGCACTTGTCCTGATGTTCCTTGAAACTTTTGAGAAGGCAGTCCAGCTTATAGTCAAACTTAGACAGGTCATATCTGTAACCCCTGAATCCAAGCATTTGCAATTATGAATCATCATACAAATTTTAAATATACATACAGAAGAGTTTGATCCTCTCATGTCAATAATTAACACCACCAATTACATGTTACAAGAAAGAGAGAGTACACAAAAGCAATATGAAGTAGTACAAACCATTCTTTTGTAGGTTCCATTAATTTTATTCTTTCTCTCTTATACTATGGAGAGTTGTATAGAAGAAGATATTGGAGTGATATCGATTGAGAAAATCAGTCTACGTAGTTTGTATAAAGAAGAACATTGGAAGGACAGTGTGGAAAGTAGACTGCATGTTCTCTAATCCTACGAAAAAGAGTGACTAAAAAGGATATTGGAAAAAGTTGTTAAGAGAAATCTCACGATTAGTAAAATGAACATAGCAAAGAGCCTGGTTTTGGATTCAAAATGATGATCAATTTGTCATCAAAACGCAGCTTTATGTCAAGGCTTGCTCTCAATCTCAAACAAATGATATTTCAAAATTTTTGGCGTTTAATCGAGTCAAATAATATTCTACAATCTGTGTAACTTATTTCACTTGGAAAGATCAAATTTGTTGTTGTTATCTCTCGTATAACATCGCATTATTGAGTTAAGAAACTGAGCTTACTTTTCACCCAAGAAATCAATATGGCTGGTAAAAGTGACCAAGGTACTGATTGTCCAGTATGCAAGAACAGGAATCTCATGCATAGTGTCCGTCAAAGAAGGCACATCCTTTACGTTAAACTCTGCAGTAATGAGCTTCTTCCAATCAGTGATGCATTTAACGACTTGCATAACCTTGTTTACCAAATTGTTGAAGTTAGCAAGTTGCTGTATGTTTTCCATGATGCTATGAAGTCCGTTCAACTCTGCCAACGATTTCCCAAGTTTGTCCCGTGGCGTTGGGGCAAGTTGCCAAAACTTGCCATACTCAAGAGCAAAAGCTGCAAGAGCTATCACTGCTTTTGCATCCCAAGAATAGTCTCTCAGCTGTTCAAGGATCAACATTGTTGTTTGATGCGCATATTGCTCTCCACGAGCCGTGCAAATCATCTGCAGCCAATTGTTAAATTTCAGTTTGGTTTATGAAAAATCAGATCAAGCCAAGGGTTGAGATGAAAAATCATCCTCATTGTGATGAAATCTCATGTTAACTAGAAATACGATAACATTATAGTTTCCGGATAGGTACAATCCTTACAATATTAAATCGGTTTTGTAGGATTGAGTTACTTCTCTCACCATTTCTAATACAATTTAAACCAAAATCTCAACTTTGAGTCCCAACATGAAGCTGGTTTTTGGGTAAGTACCAGTGTCAATGCTGAGAATTTGTTACCATATTAACGCTTTATGTTCAGGTATTTTATCTTGATAAGTTTATTTATTATAGGAATGTATGCTTTAGAATTCAGAGAAATTATTTCTTGTTTTGTGACCATATGGTCCAGTTAATCTTCAGCTGACACTACGCAGTTATGCTTTTTTTCTATTCAATTAATTAAAAAGTGAAGATGTCATGTGGAAATTGATAGGAACCAGATGGTGGAAGAATGCAAAATAATTTCTTCTATACTGAGTGAGTTTTTAAAGGGCAAAGATAAAAATCAGAGTTAACTCATGGTTACATAACTTCTTAATACTTCGAAAGAAGTTTTAAATATTTATTTTAAATTTTACCTGACAAGCAATTCGCTTCAAGACAGGGAGTCGTTGGAAAGAGATTAATGGATCCTTTTCTTCTCTGTCTTGCTCAATTTCTTGTCTCTCCTTCTCCTGTACATGAAGTTGTAAGCACTTACATGGTAACTAAAAGAGCTTAAAATCATTTGAATGTCACGTAACCTAAATTATTTAAAAATGTACTTCCAATGAACTTTGCTTTTAGTTTCTCCCCTATGGAGGATATAGTCCTATTAAAAAGACACATATATATAGTCAGCAAATCACATAATCATGGTGGATTTTTGTTTCGATTGAGTCTTTTTCTCACTGATACAGTGTTTCTCAACAATCGGACAACACATACAATCCAAATGAAATGCATTCAGCCTAATTTCTTTTCTAAACTTGAACCTCCAATCGTAGATAAAAAAACATTGAACCATTCCAATAGACTATTCATAAATTCATATCACTGAATGATGTGCACAACAGTGTATATTTATAGTGTGATGTGCTTAAAATTACCTTGATCAAATCAGCAATTACAATTGATTGGTTGATCACGTTTGAAGCAATACTGTAAAGAGTTGCAACGTCGTACTTCTCAACACAATGGAAATGGGTTATGTATATTCTCTCCAACATCTGATCGTCATTGACATCAAATGGGTTAAGCAAGAGCTTCTCCTGCTGAGGAGTGTTACTGGAAACTTGCTTGGACGACATGTTGGTGATTCAACCAACCAATGTTCCAAGGTATTTAGACAAATATTTGAAAGCCAACAATGTCTATTTATAGAGTGAAGCAAAGCACTATAGTTTAAAATGCAAAAGCCAAAAAATAATGATTAACTAACTTCAGTAGTATACATCTAGAAATGGAGTGAATTAATACAAAACTTCATGTGGCTTTTGGGGGACCCTAGGTTTTCTCTCAAATAGATTTCATAGTATACCCTTATTGGTTGATGATGTATGTGCTTTTGAAAACAAAGGGTGTAACTGACAATGCATAAGGATTCCCTAAACGATCGAATTACCCACTTTACATTGATTCAAACCTTGAAGGAAAGAATATGTGCAACAAACAGTACTATAAAGAGTGATATGTTTCAAAAAAGATAAAGGTAAAACTGGGAATAAAGGAAATAATATACTCTGAGTGCTTATGCTATCATGAGTGATGCCCTTCAATACATTTTATTATCTGAAAGATTAAATAAGATTCAAGCTTTAAGTTAATTTAATAAACTAGAATATGCTTAATTTCTGCACTTTTAAGGGCTTATAAAATACACTAGTACAACATACAGGTAAAAATAATCATAAAGATAGAAGTTTGTTTCCGTTCAGGATATATGCTTAAAACACCCTTTATTTTAGTTCAAGATTGGTTGTTGGGGACGGTATTCTGATGTGATATGATTAATATTCACTATTATAATGGCATACATTTTTTTTAATATATATAAAAATTAATAAGAAATAACTTTCCTAATTCGTAAATATTAATGAGTTAATAGGAGATTTGAAATTCGTAAAACAAATTTTTGCTGTAAAACTCTGGTACTTTTTTGCGAATGATAATCCCTAAATAATGTTTTTTACGAAATTTGTATTCGTAGGTAAGTTTCCTGTTCATCTAATTTGAAATGAATTCTGCATGGAATTTCATATGAACGTCAATATATAAATACATAATTGTTGCTTTTGAAATAATTTAAAATTCATCTAAACATATTTCTTAATCTATAAATATTAATAAAATCAATTCTAGCTTGAAAACTTAATCACTTCTTTAAAAAATAATATATAATTTAATAAATTAAATTTTTAAATTTCATTATAATGAAATTTATCTTAATTTATTATAATGAATATGTTTTTGAACTTAAGCTATTTCATTTTAGTTAATAATTTAAGGTTGAGATTAGAAAAATCAAATTAAAAAAAATAATCTTTTGAAAATTTTGTAAATATAAATACAAATTACCAAAATATATATTAGACCTATTTTTATCTTAGAAGGAAAATTACATCAAAAATGCAAAAGAGAGAAAGATGTCACAAGTAATATGTAATCAACCTATCAAATCGTGCACCCTCCATGACCAAAAAATTATAACAAGAGTTTACACATTATTAAGAAAGCCCTTAAATTTTTACTATAAATATGGGTCATGAGAGAGTATTAGAAACACATGTAATAATAGTAGTGAGTTGAGAATATATTATGAGATAAAAGAGAAATTTCATTATTTTTAAGATATTATTGTAAGTTATCCTAGAAGGATGAGTTAGTGCATTTATCCTCTTTTGAAAGAGAAATCCTTTTGTTATCCTAATTTCATAGTAGATTTCTTATATTAGATTGATCTCATGGTTTTTCCCTCTCACATTGAGTAGGTTATCTGCATCAAAAATATTGTGGGTTATTCTTTATTATTTTTTCTTATTATTATTACTTGACGTAAGCCTATATTAAGGTATATTTACATAAGGGAAATTTTTTCACTTCCACATAATTTGCTTCGTTCCCTAACAATGCAAATATGCGTGTTAAAGAACAGTTTGCATCAAGCTATCAAACTATCTTATATACACTCCTTTTACAATTTGGTTTTTGTCTACAACAAAATATTTTCCGTTTAAGTAATTTTGGGTGTTCAATTAGTCATAATACACCTCAAAGTGATCATCAATGGTCTCTCAAAGAAGATTGAGAACATGTGTTTGATATGAATTTCATTAATAATAAAGTATTTCGAATCATTAACAAAGATTCATTTACACCTCAATTTTTCAATTGTCATTTTGATCAATAAAAAATTTCAACTTTGCGAGAGAGAATAAATTGTTTAAAAAAGATATTAGTTGAAATAAATTATCATTATCTCATCTTGATCTTCATAAAAAATGTGACTTAGATATTTGAAAGATAGTTCATTTAGAAATCTTTGTCAACTAATTTATATTTATTGTTCTAAATATTGTTATTAATGTTGGAATAAAGATATTTGATTAGCTAAATTATAGGTTTGTATAGCGATACAAAATATTGTATAATCGAACATCCTTTACTTAGTTATGATTTGTTGGAGTAAAATACTATAAGATCATAGTATCTCGTGTACAAAAGTAATATCAATAAAATTATAAGAATAAATTCTATATTTTTCAATTTGGTATCAAAGATTATAATTTTTTTCTTTTTCTTTATAAATCTTTGGAGATCTTAATTGGAGAGATAACAAAAAAACTAATTCCAGTGGTTGTTCAATCTGAAGGTATTTTCAACGTAGACATTATCCTAAATGAATCTAATTATAACGTATGGTCATAACTAATGGAGATGCACCTTGTAGAGAGGGTAAAATTGTCCTACATCCTTGGGAAGGTGAAGCCTCCAACAGAGAAAGATGAGGGATATGAAAAATGATATGTTGAAAACCAAAAAGTGAAAAGATGGCTATTGATGTCCATGAAGCCAGAAATCATGAAAAGGTTACCCACTGCCCTCGATATTTGGAATGTTTTGTCAAAGGCGTTTTATGATGGAAGTGATAAGCTATAGGTGTTTGCCCTGAATAAAAGAACATTCATTGCAAAACAAAATAATAGAACCTTAACTGAATATTATGGGGAGTTGGTTGAGATTTTTAGGGAATTGGACCATCGTGACAAAGTAGTCATGAAGGACCCTAATGATGTGAAGTCATATCAGAAGTCCATTGAAAGATTAAGGGTGCATATATTCCTTGTTGGACTAGATGATGATTTTGAGCAAGTTCGTGGAGAAATCTTGCACAAGGAAGTGACACCTAATTTAGAAAAATGTTATGCATTGATCTGGAGAGAGACAGTCCGGCGAACAACATTGAAAACAAAAGATATGATTTCTAATTCCATAGTGATGACAAAGAAGCAGCCAACAAATCATTACAGCAATCAAAAGATTTTGAAAAATGTAACTACAGGTGTACTCATTGTAATAAGGATGGACACACCAAGGAACGATGCTATGAAATCATAAGACACCCCGAGTGGTGGGATCACAGTCGAGCATCGAAGAAGAATTCAAAAAGAAATTCAATTGTTGTTGATGTAACTGTCATTGACAAAAGAGGACGACAAAGGCATGATTCCAATGGTAAGGCTTTAATAAGCACATCTACCATTCTGAATAATGCATGGATAATTGACTCTGCGTGTTCTGATCATGTGACTTTTGATGTTAGACAGATTAAAAATCTTAAACATGCATCACAAAAAGTATTTCCACAGCTAATGGTAGTAAATCCACTATTATTGGAGAAGGAACTGTCTCTATTTCAAACAATTTGAACCTTAATATTGTCCTTGTTGCTCGTTCTCTTGAATATAACCTATTGTCAGTCTCGCAAATAACCAAAGCTCTTTTATGTGTTCTAATTTTTGGGCCTGACTGTTGTGTTTTTAAGGACATTCAAACGAGGAAGATGATTGGTTGTGGTATTAGGAGAGGAAGGTTGTATTACCTGGACCTGACAGAAAAAGATTCAAAGAGACTTGGTCAAGTGCTAGCAAAAAAAGGGTCTCAAGAAGTAAGAAAAGGCAAGGGTATTTGGTTATGACATAAGCGTCTAGGACATGCATCTTTTGATTGCATAAAGAAATTATTTCCAAATGTATTTGACCAAGTAGACACTTCAACCTTTTATTGTGATGTTTGTGAGCTTGCAAAGAGTCATAGAACATAATTACCTTGAATTTCAAATAAACATTTGTAACATTCTGCAAGTGGGTTGCACAAGCAAACTTAGGCCTCTGGGAAGAGTGAAGCTTAATGACATCAATTTGGACATTTCTTTCCATCAAATTGGCCCATCTCAAATTACCTCTCTTACAATAAAAGATAAAGAAATATGCATTGTGGATGTATGCATGTATATTATTTATTATGCTAAAACTAAGTAAAGTGCAACAAATTAAGAAAAATTAAATTATGCTATGCTTTCAATGAAATTATGTTAAATGCATGGTTTATGAATAAAATAATTAGTTTAGAAAATTCTCTTTGATCAAGAAATAAATAGTAAAATAATTAGCTAGTGATGGAGAGTCCTTTCTTGGGCTTTTCTCTCTTTTATCTTCTTAGACATGGACCTTGGTTGAGCTGTAGTGGGTTGTGACCTAGATGCTCCTCCATCACCTTGAGTTTCCCAAGAACAAAGAATTATTAATCAAGCTTTTTAAGAAACTCGACACTACCCTTCAGGAAGACCTCTTATGGAAAAAATGGGAGAAGATTACTCCCAAGTTTGACTTGAAAGAGAAACACAGGGACAAACTATAATAATAAGTACACACACAAAGCTTCATAAAATTTCAAGTTAGAAAAGATGTAAAGGGAAGTGTTTATTATACAAGCAAGCTCTCTCTCTCATCCCTCTTTCTCACTTGATGTTGGACTAATTCCCAAGGATGAAAAGGTGCTACCTAACCCCTTTTCAGGTTCCAACTCTTACATTCTACCCAATTTTAAAGTTTATAAGGTGTAAATTTCTCTTTTGTTGTAACCAAGTATTGAAGCTTGGTCTTCTCCTTCTTGAATGTGAAATGCAGTGCACAAAAACAACCTCATTTTTGCTTGAAGTGTGATTTTAAGAGATGCTTGCTTCTACCTTGACTTTGGCCAAGCAAATGAGAAGGAAAGTGAGGAGTGGATGTGACCTGAACCTTACACC